GGCAGTGTCACTGGCCCTCATATGTGGGATCTGAACCGGGGCCCTCTGGCATCCCAAGCGAGTTCTTAACCATCGCGCCACTCGGCCAGCCCTAAACCTTATGTTTTCTTAATTTATATAGCTTTGCATGTGGGCATGATGGTTTATCTGTGTAGAGATCCTTGAACATTAGTATCAGAAGTTTGCATCAGTCAAAAATTCTCAGAGTTGAAGGCACCACAAATACAACTCAATTTTTTTAAGGAAAAGGGGGCATCTATGGACTCAAATAACTGAGAGGTACAGGACTTGAGCTGGCTCCAGAGATGGTGGATCCAAAAGTGCCACCAGGACTCCATTTTTTCTCTCCTCTGAGCTCTTCTTTTCTCTGCTGGCGTCATTCTCAGGCATGCTTTCCCCTGGGAGTGAGATGGCTTTTGGAAACCCTAGGCCTACAACCTGTGCAGTGGACAGAGAAGACTTCTCAGTAGCTCCAACAAAAACCCGTGAGTTGAAACTCATCCTTGATTGGCTGGCTTGGGTCACATGCCCATCCTGTAGCCCAGGGAGGCAGGATGCACTGATTCATCAGACCTGAGTCACATGTCTACCTCTGGAGCAGGGAGAGGTCAGCACCACCCATATTACTGGGCTGATGGTGGGTGAAAGTTGTTTCTTAGGAGAAAGGAATGAGAAATGGATCTTGGACAAACATAAAGCAAGATTCCAAAATGGTATTAAAGTAACCACCCACTCCACTGCCCCCCGCACCAGAGAAGCTGACCTAACTTGTTTCAGAGCAAATGAAATGTACTTGCTGACAACCTTTTCAGGTTAAAAGAAAAGAAAGTGTAAGCCATTTAGGTAATAAACCTGCCTTCGGTTAACTTCCAAGTGATATTTATTCTTTCTCAAGCTTCTTGTGTTCTTATTTAACCTCTGAGGTTGATCAGACAGTTATATATTTCAGATGAGGAAACTAAGGCAAAAAGAAGTTCAATGATGTACAAGAGATGCTACTGCCAGATGGCAACAGATGGCAGCCAGGGACTCTTGTTTTCCTGATTGCTAATCAAGTGGTTCTTTTTTGTTGTAGTTGTTGAATAAAGACTAACAGGATTACACAGAAACTGCATTTCATAAACCAAATTAAGTACGTCAGTATTGTGCTGCGTTTGGGTTTCCTAACATCTTTACATGTGGCATTGTCCCATGTTCCTGTTTTTTTACTCAGTTGGATACATACTGGTCTGGTGTTTGGACCTGGAATGAGGAAGAAATAGTAGGAGGGAGATAAGTGATATCCCATTCTCTCCCACTCCCTGGTTCTGGCAATCAGTAAGCCCAGCCGTCTCCCCACACACATACTCTTGGTCTGGCTCTGAGTACCCCGCATTCTCAAGGCCAGAAGGTCAT